AGGTGTTCTAATTGAGTTCGGGTCTGTGTTGGTAGTGTACGTGAGTCTTCCTCCACACTCACCACCCCCCACCACCACCACCACCACCACCACCACCACCACCACCACCACCACCACCACCACCACCACCACCACCACCACCACCACCAACACCACCAACACCACCAACACCACCAACACCACCAACACCACCACCATAACAACAACACCATATCACCACCATTAGACCAACCTCCTCTGGCAACCACTCTAAACCCACAATACTCAACTACACTCAGCACCACAACCACACACACACACTAGCAGCGGCCAGCAAAGAGGCGGGACCAGGAGCTGTGAATCGACCCCTGTGGCCACAAACATATTAGCACACACACACACACACAAACCTCTCCATCACACAAAAAAATATAGCATATGAAGACCCTAACTAATGTTTTACAAGTCTATTACGAGGGAGAGAAGTGAAAAATTGACTTGACAACATACATCCCAGGGTACAGAGGGAAGGGGCAAAACCCCTATGTAAACCTATTTCCAGATTCTCACCAGCTTGCTACACCCGCAGCTCCTAATTTCCAACCTATATAATATTCACACCGCACATTGCCCTCAAACACGACATCTCCACTGCCTGCAGCCTCCCCCTCGCTGCAACGTTAACAACCCATGCTGAAGAAGAGAAACACTACAAAAGGTCCACAGGTCTACTGGACACAAGTGCAACACTGACAACAATAGGAAAAACAAAACTAGCACCTTGTATTGGGACAATATTTAGCTCTGTGTAGAGCTTTGTCAAGTCATAGTGTGATGCAATACAGCTCTGTTAGCAGCAAAACATTGTTCCTAAACAATGCTTATCCTGCAACTCAGGCCTACTGGTCCACATTAGGCCCACTGGTCAACACACTCATCCATTCCCAAACATAAAGCTGCCTATTTTTCAAGCTGTCGACAAATAATAATAATAATAATAATAATCATAATACAATAATAAATAATAATAATAATAATAATAATAATAATAATAATAATAATAATAATAATAATAATAATAATAATCTTTATTTCTACAAGTACATGTACAAGGTATACAGGCCTAACTGACATCAGTGATATACTACTATATAGAAAGTCCCTTGTTATGCGGAGGATTTCGGACAAATTAGGTCACTTTTGTTCCCAGGATGCAACCCACACCAGTCGACTAACACCCTGCTACCTATTCTACTGATAGGTGAAAATGGACAGCAGGTGTTTTAAGGAAACACGTCCCAATGTTTTTACTCGTAACGGAGATCGAACCACGGACCTCAGTGTGTGAGCTGAGTGCGCTAATAATCAAGACCTTTAGAATTTTCTGGTCACCACCATGACTACTACGCTACCACACACCACCACACAACACCATTACCACACACCACTACACACCACAATACATCACCACCGCCACCACCACACCAACCACCTTATCACACAACACCACCATACCACCACTAACCCTCAATACCACATGCACACGCACACAACCAACACACACACCACACACACACACCAAAACACCACACCACACACACAACCACACA